AAAACAATATTAATTTATGAATTTTTCTCCTTGTTTTTAGGAGATCCAATCCAAGTTCATCTTACAATTTTGTACGAGAAGAGTTAAACCTTAATCCAGTGATAATTCTGCCTGCTTCAACTTGTATATCTTCTAAGAGTTTAGATTCTTTTTCAGAACAATTGTCCCAAATTACATCAGAATACTCTAACACAGGTCGAACAAAAGCAAAATATATTTTAATGAGTGTTTTATGTGTAACCTGGTATTTGAGCATTCTAAGAATGTTTAATCTTTTTGAAGCTTTTTCGTGTATTATCTGTATGTCTGATGTCCACATAGCATCTCTTTGGAAATGTAAACCTAAATGGGTAAGAGAATCATTTTGAATAATAGGTGGGCCATATTCACCAAATTTAACAGGAGAATATACATTATTTTTTCTACTAAAATTAAAAATTAATTTTTTTCGGATTAACATCTACTAGCCATTTCTTTGACCATTTATCAATATGTTCTAGATCATCAGTCAGAGATTGTGTAATATTTTCTTTGTCTACGATAGCATATAAGAGAAATAACAAATACTTTAAAATCATCATTGTTTGTAAGAAAATGTTTCTATGAAATATTTCCATTTCTAATTTTTTTTCTCTGCGATAACTCTTTGAAAGTTGTCGGAGTTTATTTCTTGATAATTCTGCCGGAATGTAAATTAGGCAGGTCGATAGGTCAGGAGCTAAGGAGGCCTAAAATGCATGCAAATCTCGTGCGCATCTGTCTCTGTGTCTGACGATAAGGTGGCAAAATGTGCATGTAAATCTCGTGCGGTGGCCTTGGTGTTTGACGTCATTGGGCGAGGACTATTGAAATTGGCATGGAAGTCCTCGTGTAATTTAAGTCTATGTCTACATTTTATCTAAATCTACCATTTTATTTTACAATGAAATGAAAATATAAGGAATCACTGTCTAGTTAGGAGAGTATGCCAGGGACATCAACAATAGTGGGAAAATTGGGATAATTTTAGAATAACGGGCTTCGTCCTTGCATACTCTCCTAACTAGACAGTGATTCCTTAATTATTTTTGTTGAGCACTCTTAACCGCGAATTCAATTTAGAAAAATGTCGGCTGCATTTATTGACAAATAATCTACAAAATTATGTCTATTAAGCAAAGAAGAAGGTACAGTTTCAATACAAATCTTCCTCTGTGATTTTCTTAAAAATGAATCTGATGTAAAAAAAAAAAATCAAAACTTATGCATTTTGAATTATTGAAATTCCATGCATAAAAATTATACAAATCATTTTTCTCAAATGCATTTCTAAATGCTTATTGTGACGTTATAAACTTGTGCATTTCCCGTATTTTCTTAAAATGTTGCAGAAGATAACAATTTTCAATGGAATTTTCTTTCAGAAATCATTGTTCACAGGCATCGCCCACAAAGATTTTTGGATATGTGATTTTTCATTGTATTTTACACAACATATCCAAAAATATAAGTTGGCGACGGCTGTGGTCACTATTCATAAGGTAAATTCCCCTTGACATGAGTCATTTTAATGCTTTTTCTGTTTGAAATAGAATAGACAAATACATCAAATTAATGACGTCATATTTCCAGAATAGTACTCCCTCATGCCAAATTCTTTCCAGATCTTTCACAGTCATAAACTCAACTAATATTTAAGCAGTTTCAGTACTTTTTGAAAACATTTAATTTTTAGAGCACAATAAGGCTAAAATCATACCTTTGTCTTAGATAAACTTTTGAAAGCACAAAAATATGACCACTTTAAATCAAAACGATTCCACAGTCTATTTTTCAGGAGTATTTGAAAATGTAAATCATCATTTTCACCTTCAACTTTTATTAATATGTGTAACGTTTTCAGATAAAAGTGAACACTGCTTTCGGGGTGCGAATATGTGCTACAAAGGAAAGTTGTTTATCAGAGCCGACACTTCATGCTACTGTAGATGTCCACCTAAGTAGTCTGGGCCGAATTGTCGTCAGAAGTCGAGTAAGGATTGTATTAAGCAGGGTCAAGAAATTTAAATCTGATACTAATCGAATCTTTTTAAATGAACATCTGAAAAATATTTATGGGTTATACATTGTGGAACATAGGGAAGAAATGTAAAAGTATTGAAAGGTTTTTGTCGTGCATTTTATTTCCAAGCAGACTTCTGATAAATGTGAAGACAAAAAGGATTGTCTGCTTTACTCTTCATCTAATTTTTTAATGTTAATTCTGTACTTATTGTATGCTGGTTGTTCCCTTGCAGAATTTTTCACTCGAGAATCAAATTATTATTTGAGAATTATCAAAAATGTTAACATGTATGTTTATGTTTTAGGTTTACACTTATGCTCAAACTTGAAGAAACATTTCCTTCTATTATAGACAAAAAGTCTAAGTGTCAGTACATGCCGTGTCAGAACGGAGGAACGTGCACAGATACGGACAACTCATACGTGCGCGTGTAACACGCGTGTAACAGGGTGGAGGGGACAGAACTGTACAGGCAAGTTTTGTTGGATTTTTTTTGCTATGATTTTCACGTATATTTATTTTTTGATTGGATTGAATTGTAGGTAAAATGAAACATTATTCCCAACATAATAATGTCATGTTGTAAATTTTGATTTCAATGGGTACCATGGCAGAATACAAAATTAACAAAATGACAACTAAATTTGGTATTATGTGTTTATAAAAATAAATAAAATTCCAGTGAATAAAATTGTTGAATTAAATTTAAATATAATATTAAACAATAAAAATATTAAACTATGAATGATAAAAATATACTCAAAAGTTTTAAATTTACCGGGTGGCAGTAGATGCAAAATTCAAAAAAGACAATTTTGCATTACTTTTCTTAGATGATAGAAACATTTAATATTAATATTTAACCCAAAATATGATTCTACTACAAGAGGAATGCAATAGCAAATTACAGGGCATGTATACGCATATATTTACATAGACTAGATATTATCTCCTTTATTTTTATCAGTTCATGAACAACACTAGGCATATCACACGTACAGATTTCTTGATCAATGGCTGTTTCATCAATGAAACATACTATGACGTACATATCAATATGCAAAAAAAAATTAATCCTTTTTTAAATGATAATTTCTATAGATATAAATTTAAACAATAAAATGTCTTTCTTCGGTTGTTAGAACAGGAATTAATGTCACAGCTATTGCAGAAAAAATATACATAAACCGCTTACACGGGTTATGTATTTTTTTCTGCAACAGCTGCGACATTAATTTTATTGTTTTTAAAATTTTCTCTGATTATGTGTCAGAATTAGGATGTCACCAAGTATGAAACAAAGAAAAAATGAACAAAATATGCCCGAAGAACATATGCGAAGAGAATAAAGCAAGAAAAATAGTCTTATTAATTGGTGTTCAATAAGTTGTATGTGAGTACCTAAATGATTATCACTGTTCAACTGATGCGTCTTCATTTTGTCTTTCTGTAGTATTTGCTGAAGGTAGGCAAAGAATTTAAGTTTATTTATTTATGTAGCCTAGATTTTTATATGATGCAGTTTTCAGTCATGAAATTTCAAATATACCACTATATATATATAGATATATATTTCATATAAATGAAAGCGCTCAAGCTAAACTAAAGGTTTTCGTTTTTCTTTTTTAAAAAGATTTACCTATATATATATATATATATATATATATATATATATATATATATATATATATTAATTAATTAATTAATTAATTGTTCCTTGTAAAAGTAGTTTAAGGACAGATGATACAAACAAACTTTTGTCAAAAAATTTGAAGATAACTTGTGTCATCCTTACATGAGTGAATAAGTTTCACAGCGCATTTTTTAGTTTTTTTTTAAATTTGTACAAAAAGGGAATTTGAAGTGAAAATTATTTGTATAGCTTAATAAGGAAGGTTTCAGAAGGGCTGACTTTTGAACATCACAGAAGGTTTACAATTTCTTGATTTCTAGAAATTTATTATTTGCATCATTTGCAATGAAATTAGGCCCAAAAATATATACCAATGGAAGCATCCATTTTTTGTTTGTATCATCTGTCCTTAATTCGACTGATGTAATGCCCATGATAAGGACATATTTAAGAAATAAGGTATCATTTTTAAACATCTATCGGGATATAAATACGGGTCGGTCACGAGATTAAATTCCATAAAGCCCGAAGGGCTTTATGATGAATTTAATCTCGTACCGACCCGTATTTATAGCCCGATAGATGTTTTAAAATGATACCTTATTACTTATATTTACATTTGTGATCGACAACATCTGTCGATCACTAAGCTGAATTTCTGATTGCAACACGTTTCCATACATTTTACATTGACCTACATAACGCCTGGTTCAAAATGACGTAAGCACAAAACAAAGTTCCATGAAATCTAAATCGTTTTAATGATAATTAAGCTCAAACACAAGGTTTCAACAAAGACAGTAAAAGTTACTCAAAAGTTTATAACTATAAAACTGTTTTTATGCCGCAAACGGTGATTTAAAAGAACTTGTTAAAAACGTGTGCGCTTTGGGGTGCGCAATGTTACAGTTGTTATGCGCCCTTTCACTTTTGAAAATTGAACACGCAGTTGTTGAAGACGGATTTCGAAAGATATTCTGTGGACATTACTGAGTTAAGGGAAGCCTGAGGTGGAGGGACTTGAAGAACAGAGCTGGAGACGACAGAATTAGACAAGTCATTCATTGACACATCACAAGAAGCAGATAAATCTCCTGGAAGTACGGACATCGCAGAGGAAGTAGCGGTAGAATTACAGGAGGGTAAGGGACAATTTTGACTGGTATTTTGATCGGGATTTGTAATTGTTGACAAACATGAGCTCACTTGACGCTTCTGTTGATTTGATAAATTCCTGTTGTAGGTTTTCAAGGACACCTCGCTCCGATGCCCCGACATAAACATATTTGGCGTGCTTGGAAAACGGCATCACTCATGGCTGTGATGGCTGTGGCACGGAGGCAGTGTGGTGTGTAGGTCCTCAAGCATTTTGACGATTTACATATATCGGCCATGAATCCAGTGAAAGACCTTTTTGCTAAAGGTTTAGCACTGTACCACACATCTTGTAGACCAGGAAGAGAGAGAGCTTCCTTGAAACAGGTATCGAAAAGGTATGTAGCATTTTCATCTGTTTTGCTTATCAGCAGCTGAAGCATTTTAATTGGACATAATTCATTCTCTGGAATTTCATACATTCTTTTGTCAGAAGGAGCCTCATGACATCCAATGCCTCCCTGGAAATTTTTTTGTTGTGTTTCGTGTCTGAGGGTGGCATATTCCAGGCCATTTTCATCTTTTGAGAAATTGAACGAGTCCTTGCGGATCTGATGGTGGAATTCTAAGCCACGGGAAATGAAATGAATGGACAAGTTGTACCACACACATTGTCGGAGAACAACAGGGGAGGATGAAGCACATTTGAAATAGGTAGAGATTCTCTGTAAATCCTCAGTGTGGATTACTTCTTTGTGATTTGTGGCCCTTGATGCCCCAGTTTTTGTCATGCATTTCAACATCCCATCAAGGGTATGATTGGCAGATTTAAATTCTTTGTCTCTGACGACATCAATTGACCTACCCAAATCCTGCAGGTGTCTATTTATGGCAGATCGGAGACTTTTCAAAGAATTTTTGTGGTAAGTTTCCGCTTGTATGTGAGTAAGTTCTACGGATCTTTTTTTTGATTCTTTGGGCTTTGCCTCGCAATAAAACTTCCTTAATCTGTTTGCTAGAAAGTCTGCAGTGACTGTCAAGAAGTCGAGATGTTCGCCAAAGACTTCCAAGTGCCAATCTAAAAATTAATTGGAAATATTTCTTGCAGTGTTTGATTTTTTTATTATATAAATATTTCTATATGCGTTCATTTATTTGGGTTTTTTAAAACAATTTTCCTCAAATTTTTGCATGCCTTTTGATTTTAATTTTATTATAATTTTAACTTTTTTCAAAAAATGCATTTTTAGTTTGTTTATTGTTACCCAGAGTCTCAGATACAGATTTATTTGTTTTGCATTTGTTGTGCATACTAGTTTATACTAGCTATAGTAGATTACATGTCATGTGTGTCATTGTTGGTGGTGAGTGTGTCGGTCTGTTGTACACATAGATAATTTACAACAGAACATGCATTTGTCTCTCTTACAAGGACATATTTTAGTCATCATAGATTAATTCTACTTAGTTTTTAACTTTTCCTAAATAATTATTGTTTTTACTTTTATGTTTTTACTTTTAAGCATGATTTTGTGGTCATAGGGTAAAATATTGACAATAATTTGATTTGACTTTGTGAAATGTACCTTGAAATAACTTGATCTCCCATTTTGTGTTTCTTTTTGTTGATGCAGATTGCCTTGCATCCTGGAAATTCTGCAATTCATCCTCAGAAACAGATTTGAATCTCTTTGCTGATGGGGGTGTAGGAACAGGCACCCCGGGACATGGCAGACCCTCCATATCTGAGACTTTCAGTTCCTGTTCCATTTCTTCAGTTTCCTCAACACTCAGAGGTGCCATAAAGGAAAGGTCTAGTGATGCAAATATGTCATCATCTAGCAGAAGGTATAATTCTGCGTCACCCATATCAAAATCGCCAAATTCAGCCATTATAGAGACTAGAGTGACTTGGGGTCAGTGTAGCAGACGGGAATTTAGAAAAACATAAGTAAGAAATTGTTTTGTAGAAATGTTTTATTATTGATTGAAGCCCATTGCTGTGTTTACAAATAAAATCATAAAAACAATCTGAGATGTTAGTTTAATCTATTTTTAGACTTCTGCAACAAGCGGATGAGATCGATCAATATTGTGTATTGCCTTAGTAAAAATAGTCCCATAACCTAGTTTTCACAAATATTCATACGCACATCTATGACCTCTTAACCCCGTAATGGAATTTATACAGTTATAGATACGCATTGCTTTTAATAGTGTTATATAAAGAAAAACATTTGCAAATGTAAATATTTCTCATTATTAGAGACGACAGTGTTATATAGATTTTGTTATTTTTCAACATTAAATGAATCATATTAATTTTGTTTTGTGAACAGCTGGAAAAAACCCAGAGGGATAAATGAAATAAAATGAGTTTTAGCAGTGTATATTTAAATGTTGTAATATAAATGATGATGACGACTTCTTTTATTAATGATCCCCGCACTATGAACATGTGTTCTTCTCGTGACATTCGATCAAATGAAAAACAACCATTTGAAGATATCGTAGATATTTCAACACATGGGTAAAATTGTTATTTGTACCTATAGAAAGCTGTCATATTTTTTGGATTCAATTTGTCAAAACGTACATAAAATTCAATATCGTCGCCTTCGACTTTGTTGCAGTGGTTAGGGCGTCTGCTGCTCAGGAGTTTCGAAGTAAGGAGTTGATCCCTACGTCGCGGGTAAGAATCCCACTGTGGGACATGGAGACTGGTCCTTCAAATGAGACTGTATAAACCAAGGTCCCTGTCGCAGTAAAAAAAAAACTGTGTATCTAGAAGATCAATTTCATCACAGCAAAGTAATGGTATGTTAATCAGCTTAACAAAAAAAAAATGCGAATTATAATATCTTCTTTTGCAAACAATATTTTGAAATAATGAATTGCAATTGGGAAAAAGTATTATGCAGGTGACTTGGCTATCGGGAAACAACAGTCGGCCCGAAGTCCCCACCATTTGGCAGACTGTGTGCGATGGAGAAATCGCATAGGAGTTATCTTCAAAATGTTTATTTTAATTAATTATTCTTTTACAAAAATTTAGCCCCCAAACAGGAAAAGACCTTAAAATCGACATTCCTTTTCAGGACAGGCGTTCTTAAGACTATAAACTGCACAAGGGTTAAGAATGAGTAGTTTAAGTTTGAAATTACGGATTATTGGATGGAAAGTAAAACAATTGTAAGAGTTACTTTACCCTTAGTGGAACAGGCACCATTTGCTTTAATTAAGAAAAGACACATCAGAATTAATGGTTTTAAGCAATAAATAAAAAATATTAAACGGCGTATGCTTATATCAATATAACTGTTACAACAGCTATTGTTGTCTGACCAGTCAGGCACATTTTAAGACTTGTTTTATTATTTTTAAAGAATTAAGTGAAACAGAATGGCGGGTTCATTGTCTTCTAATAGAAAACGAAATATCTCCATTTCTTTCAGAACCTCCTAATTTCCTTGATACAATAGAATGTGGTTAAAAAGAACTTCAAATAAAACTTTCTGATCAAACCGAAAGTGTAATTTTGATTAAGAGTTACGAATGCACTTCAGTTATCAGAAAATCCAGAAACCATATGCTCCTTACATGTAATATTGGTGGATTTGAGCTACATGTTTGCTATGCATTACCATAGTAAAAAAAACTCAATGTATCGCCATCAGCTTTGCAGAGGACTCTGAAGATGTGACTTTGAGGATGAATGAATTGTGGTGTCTTTCATACAGTGTTACAGATTAATATGTAGGCAGTCATCACTATCAACTTACACATTATGTAAGAAAATTGGTTTGTTAGAAGACAACCAGGGAGTTTTATTCATTTTATCGTAAATAAGACATACTACATGTAGTATGTTTTGAGTCCACCTTTAGATGAAAATCTAGTTATATTTTATGTATACTTTAGGGTCAATTCAATTACGTATTTTAAAAGCCTTGTAATGTCTAGGGCTATTTCAAGTTTATATCTTGCAGGAATTTTGTCATACTCATTATTTTATTTTCGAGGTAATCCTGCTTTTAAATAAAGAATTTAATGCTTAAAGACACTTTAAAATATCTTAACATTGTTTCTGAGAATTCACGTGCAATATGGTTTGAAACTTGATGTGTGATTTTCCTTTACAGACTTGTCTGACCAACGTCTGACATTAATCATTAATCATTGGTATCAAATGAAAGATAAATGAGTCATAAAGCATAAATTAAGCATTACTGAAGACTGTTACAACAACAACATATTGCTATTGATTGACGTGGATTGTGGACAAAACATTTCCTGAATTTTTCAATATAATATCTATAATATGACACGTGTACTTTGCAGTTTTAAGTACTAGTTTCGTAATTCAATTATGGAAAAAGACATTTTTTTCGATCAGTAATAGGGCTACAATTGTATCTATTGTTATTAACGTTTTGAAACATTTCTGTGTACAAAGTTATTTTGATGCTTGACAGTTTGTTTTGTTTTCGATTTCCGGTGCAATACTTATCTATATGAAAATATCACAAAAACAAACACTGTATACTAACTGATAGATTAGAAAAGTCTAGTTGGTAAGAAGGTAATATATTCATATTATTAATTTTATCGTGTGCAGCTAATACTACTTTCTGTACCTTTCGCTTTATGTATTTTTTTCTTAAATAAATTACATTTCGTCTGTACTGTTAACATCAGGTTTCCATTGCATCTTTCTTGCTGTTATCTGATATTGATGAACACTTGATCATTGTCATTTTCATTAAAAATCCCTGTAGCCTTGATCTGCCAAATATATCCATTGCGATACTCTGACTCGTGATAAAAAAAAAACCTATATATTAGATATCTGTAAACTTAGCTACATGTAATATCAAGAATAACGCCCACAATTAAACAAAATCTTATCTTCCAGGTACTTTGTTAAAAGTCAGTTTAAATGTGTTCCAGATACTCCGTTACTAGTCTGTTCTAATGTGCTCAAGGTACTTCATTATTAGTCTGTTTTAATGTGCTCCAGGTACTCAGTTATTAGTCTGGTTTAATGTGCTACAGATACTCAGTTATTAGTCTGGTTTAATGTGCTACAGATACTCCGTTATTAGTCTGGTTTAATATGCTACAGGTACTCAGTTATTAGTCTGTTTTAATTGATTCTAGATACTCCGTTATTAGTCTTTTTAATGTGCTCCAGGTACTCCGTTATTAGTATGTTTTAATGTGCTACAGATACTCAGTTATTACTCTGTCTTAATGTGCTCCAGATACGCCGTTATTAGTCTGTTTTAATGTGTTCTAGATACTCAGTTATTAGTCTTTTTAATGTGCTACAGATACTTCGTTATTAGTCTGGTTTAATGTGCTACAGATACTCAGTTATTAGTCTGTTTGAATGTGCTCCAGATACTCCGTTATTAGTCTGTTTTAATGTGTTCTAGATACTCCGTTATTAGTCTGTTTTAATGTGCTACAGATACTCAGTTATTAGTCTTTTTTAATGTGCTACAGATACTCAGTTATTAGTCTGTTTTAATGTGCTCCAGGTACTCCGTTATTAGTCTGTTTTAATGTGTTTTAGATACTCAGTTATTAGTCTGTTTTAATGTGTTTTAGATACTCAGTTATTAGTCTGGTTTAATGTGTGTTTCAGGTACTCCGTTATTAGTCTGTTTTAATGTGTTCTAGATACTCTGTTATTAGTCTGGTTTAATGTGCTACAGATACTCAGTTATTAGTCTGGTTTAATGTGCTACAGATACTCAGTTATTAGTCTGGTTTAATGTGCTACAGATACTCAGTTATTAGTCTGGTTTAATGTGCTACAGATACTCAGTTATTACTCTGTTTTAATGTGCTCCAGGTACTCCGTTATTAGTATGTTTTAATGTGCTCCAGGTACTCAGTTATTAGTCTGGTTTGATGTGCTACAGATACTCAGTTATTAGTATGTTTTAATGTGCTCCAGGTACTCCGTTATTAGTCTGGTTTAATGTGCTCCAGGTACTCAGTTATTAGTCTGGTTTAATGTGCTACAGATACTCAGTTATTAGTATGTTTTAATGTGCTCCATGTACTCAGTTATTAGTATGTTTTAACGTGCTCCAGGTACTCCATTATTAGTCTGTTTTAATGTAAAGTAATGATTCCTGCATTTACTTGGGCCGTTCAAATACGCCGACGCGTTGCACAGAAGAAAGAAGCATAATCCGAGACAATAAAAAAAATTCAACAAAATATATCAGAAAAATCTTAAACTTATATATATGTTCAACAAAAGTCCATATCAAATTGATTTCATTTTGTTGTGATGTAACCATCGTCTCAAGCCACGGTCCGGAGTCCGCATGTAGCTCTCTCCTACCCGTGGCTGCTTGATCACAAAAAGTGTGGTAATCTTGAATATTTACGCCTGTCTATTGTGACGTCATATTCAGTAGTGGCAAGTTTTGTTTCCATCGCAATTGAAATCAACAAATGACCTCAACAGTATACAAGAAATATTTCCTTTACTGCGATTGGATATTGAAAGGTCGCAATAAAGTTCATCTTCCGACTATGCTTTATTCGCATTGGTCAAAATTTTAATGAGCTACGAAGAATTCTCTCCTTGTTCAACCACGGCCAGAATGGGAGAGGATCGTACATTTCTAGCCGTGGTTTGCGACGATGTGATGTAACAAGAGTAGCATGATGTCGCAGTTCTGTAAAATCTTCCCTCCTCTTAAGGGAGAAATAATAATAACATCATTGTAAAGGCTTCTTCTCAAGAACCCACAGGCCAGGGAAAATGACCTTTTTGCCTCGAGAACAAAAGAAATTCAATATTCAAACGTTCAAGGATAAGTCAAAAATATTTGAAGTTCAATACTAGTATATGCATTGTGTTAGTATCTACCCATCAACAATGGATTTTATGTGACTGATGAAGGAAGAAGGATGTGGAAATAACGAACAGTATTCAATCTCAAAGTCCATAAAACAATTTAAAAAGGAACAAAACAAACAAGGACTTCTGAAACATCAGAGGTGGGATAAGGTGCCATGAAGGAGAGAGCATCCCCTGCTGACAGGTCACACCCGCCGTGGGCGTCGTCACTTCACTGTATAAATAATAATGGACTTACAATTAGTATGAAAAACGTCAGCTAGCATTTGACTTAATGATTAATTGCATTTACTGACAAGAATTTGTATAAACCATAGAACTTACGAAATGAGGTCTTTGAACGTTTCATAAAGTTGTTTGGCAATAATTTACCTAGTTATAGAAATTGTTCATACGTAGAACATGCTCTTGCATATTGAATCAACTGAGATATATACACTCCACTCTGTATACAGGTGATGAAGGTACACTGCTGCATACGTAAGGGAAGTTGACGATAAAAAAGTAAAATACATCACGTTTATTATATCCCTTGGTTGTTAGATTACCATTAACGTAAAATAAAAGATGAAAAAAAGTTTTCAACTCAGACCAATTTTACATAGGTATCGAATTAACTGAAATACACTTACTCTGTTTGAAGGTCTGAATTGTTCGTGCCTAAAGCATGCTCTCACATATCAAATCAAGTAAGAAATACATGTACAGGCGTACGAACGGACGGACAGACAGCTAGATGAACGTACAGACGAACGGACGGACGATACCGATTACTATATACCATCCCACTTTTCAAGCGGGGTATAATAAGGAGTATATAATGCTTAAAGATTCTTATCTTAACATTAATATTGTTTCTGAGAATTCACATGCAATATGGTTTGAAACTTGATCGACAATTTTCCGTTACAATCTTGCTTGACCAACGTTTTACATTAATTATTGATATCAAATGAAGGATAAATGAGTCATAGGGCATAAATTAAGCATTATTCAAGACTGTTACAAATTCAACATATTGCAATTGATTGACAGGCATTGTGTTGACAAACATTTCCTGAATCTATTTAATTGATATCTATAATATAACACGTGTATTTAGTAGTTTCAAATAACAGTTCCGTAATTCAATCATGACAAATGACATATTTTATCAAATCTATCTTTTGTTATTTCCTATTTGAAAGAACTCTGTTTACATAGTCATTTTGATGCTTGATAGTTTTTTGTTTCGATTTCCAATGCAATATTTATCTATATAATAACATCATAAAACCAAACACCAAATACTAACTAATAGATTCCGGAATAGTCTAGTTGGTAAGAAGGTAAATATTTATGCTGTTAATTTTGATGGTGGGTTTCTAATGTTAGTTTTTTGCCTCTCACTTGATTGTATACCTCTTTAATGACGTTATATGACATAAATAAGCAATTGTTTTGTAACTTAGATCTGCCAAGTCTATCCGTTGCGATACTCTCTCTCTCTCTCTCTCTCTCTCTGACATCATTGAAAAAGCTTCTTTTCAAGAACCCACAGGCCAGGGAAAATGACCTTATTGCCTAGAGAACAATTGAAACTTAGATATTTAAACTTTCAAGGATAAATAAAAGAAATGTTTCATATTTAATAAATGTATTTTGTTAATATCTACTCAACTACAATTGAATCCTAGAGAGCTTAAGATAAAAGAATTAAGATACCAAAGAGTGTGACTGTTACATACTTGAATATTTACTTGATAAAGACGTTAATGGTCATCTAACAACCAAGCTGTATGATAAACGTGATGACATTAACTTTTCTGTTGTCAACTTCCCTTACTTACATGTATGCAGCAATATATCTTGATCACCTGCATACGGAGTGCATATATCTCATTTGATTCAATACGCAACAGCATGCTCTGTGTATGAACAATTTCTAAAACGAGGTAAATTACTGACAGGGAAGTTGATGAAACAATGATATCAGCAGTCTCGTTTAAAGGCAATGTTTCGGAAGTTCTATGGTCGATACAATGACCTCGTCAAAAATACAATTTATTATTGAGTCAAATGCTGACTGACGTTTTTCATACTAATTGTTAGTCCATTATTTCTACCTTGATTTGACGACGGATGTTTCCGTACAAGGAGCACACGGTGGGTGTGACCTGTCAGCAGGGGATGTTCACTCCTCCATGGCACCTTATCCCACCTTTGATGTTTCAAAGGTCCGTGTTTGCTCCCTTCCTATTTTGTTTGATTTTATGGACTTCGAGAATGAGTACTGTTCGTTATCTCCCTATCCTTCTTGAAGGAGTGTGCTATCATTTAATTATACAATAAAACAGTTCTTGCTGATTTTTGAGGTCAAAATGATGATTAAGCCGCCTTAAGCTCGAAATACAATATTTACTTCACCCTTAGGGCTCAGTGAATATTGCGATGCTCGGGTGTTTAAGTCATCGTATTGATCTCAAAGAACAGTAATAATTGTATACTGCTCGTTACTTCCATATCCTTCATGGGACTGATAAAAGAAATTGTTCAACTCAGAACAATTTAGAAAGAACTATATGCGGTATATTGCATATATTTGCCCCCACAAAAGTCAAATTTTGAAAACTTCCTGAAATGTGCTGAATTCAATAATTTGTATGAGAAATATAAATTAAGAGAAAATATTATAGTGTCAAGGCAGTGTATTCACAATTTTCGTTTTTATGACGTCACAAACTAGTCCGATTTCATATCCTTTTTCAGAAAGAGGACAAAATGGACAAAATTTCAACAATTTTAACTTTAAAATTTATAGAGCGCAAGTTTGTTCAGGAACAATATTGACATATTTCATTGATATTATCTTTCTACACATTTTATCACAATATTGATCCTGAACACACATGCGCTCGGTGACTTTTGCTCATAATATCGACGAAATATGTACATTTTTCTGTAAAATTCATAAAAAACTGAAATTTACGTCATGTTTGTGACGTCATTACGTACATATGGCGTCATTATTTATGAAAATATTCAATGCTATGAAGTCAGCATATACTCCCCTGTTTAAGAACTTAATCAAATATATCTCCATCAAAGTTTGATTTGGGGGGCAAATATTGGTTATTACTGAATAAAGTTCTTTTGAGACATACTATTTAATTAAAATTTCTGCCTTCGAAACTAAAATATGTAAAAGAGTACAAAAATATTTTGAATTTCTAAATTTTGAAATATTTTATAGCGATAAGCATTTCTAGTCCATCTATGTGATTGAGCAAAACAAACAAGAACTTGTTCATATGTTTTTATCAATTTCTTTTTCTATCTGTTTATGTAAAAGATCAAGTGATGTGTCGATTAAATTTTTCAAAATATACTGAAAGAAGGCATTTTCATTATATATATAAAAACAAACCATTTCAATTCTTTTAAAGCCAATTAATACTCTGAAAGCACATGTTTGCCTTATTTTATGAATTCAGAGATATTGATTAAGGTTAAAATATTAAAGACTACGAATACAATGTATATCTTTTTTTTTTCAGATCCACATTTGGGCAAAAATGTTGAGGTATCAAACGGCGATTTGTGTGATCTTGGTATTGAATTGCTTTAAAGCTTCATTTTCCTGGTCAAGTGAGTATATTTTACTCTATTGTCTAGTGAGTATACTTTTACTTTATTGTCTAGTGAGTATACTTTTACTATATTTTCCTGGTCTAGTGAGTATACTTTTACTTTGCTGTCTAGTGAGTATACAAAGTGTATGTTAATGGGAACACAACAAAAGAAATCTAAATAAGAAAATGTTAATTTTCATTTACAAGGATATCCCCTTGAAAATGAAGAAGTGCACAAATTATTAGGCGTTGACATTGATCATAATTTACAATAAACTTGTCATGCAGATGCAGTTTGCAAAACTCTTACATATAAAATATTTACTTTACGAAAAATTAAAAAGTTTCTTCCAATGCACACTGGAAAACTATTTTATAATGCTTTTATTCTACCATCAATTTTATGTTGTCTATCCATTTGGGGCAACTGTCCTCAAACGCACATGGATATAGTCTATAGATTACAAAAACGAGCAGCTAGGATTATTTCAAATGAAAAATATGATACACCTTCAATGCCTATATTTAACACTTTAGGCTGGTTGACGGTTTATGAACTTTTATATTTACAGAAAACAATTCTAATGTTCAAAATATTTAATGGTATGTCTCCTGATTATATGCATAATCTTTTTAAATTTCAAAGCTCTGGATCATACACGTTACGCTCAGAAACAAACTCCGAACTTCGATTACCAAAATATAAAAATAACTTATTCAAAAATTCTTTACAATATTCAGGGGTTATTATCTGGAATGAGCTACCAATAAGTATCAGGAATTCCCAATCCCTTACAATATTTTTAAAAAAGTGTTGAAAATGTTCTGCTTGTGAAGCACAATGGTTCTAAAGAAGGCCCCGAAGAAGACTAGTGCTTGCACTAATCGGGTTACCTTCTATAAGTAAATAAATTATTATTATTATTATTATTATCATTATTTTTATTATTATTATTAGGGTCTTCCGTCTCCAACGGAAGACCCTACTATTATTCTATTGTTTCTTTTTCACTTTTATTATTATTATTCTTTTTTTTTCTTTACAATTTTTGTGTAGAAGATTTCTCGGAGATGGCTCGATCGATTTACTTGAAAATTTCGGAGATGATGTATCTTTATCTAAACCTTATACGTTTTTTTCATTTTTTTTTTGAAATTCACTTCCGGTCGGAAGTTATCGCCCTTTGATCGAAATTTTGAGGACCTCCTTGTCTGTGATGGAACTCAAAAAACAGCTTAAGCTAGAAAGCTGATTTTTTTCAGGGATGATAGAGGACATGTTGCCATGTTGCAACACGGTCAGGATATTTTCCGGAAGTGCCTTGTATGGAAGCTCGGTAGGGGTCAAAATTTAGGACACGAATCATGAGTGATTTTTTCGAGACATTTTGCATCATAACTTTTAAAGTATAATTATTTTGTTAAAACATACTGGGCAATAATTGTGCAGAATGACAAGATCTTTCATATGATATCAAGAAAAAACTCATCACATTGGGGGCCGAGAGGGGCCAAAAGTCTTTATTCGATTACTTTGTAACAGTCAATATTTTGTTATACATTACTGAGGCAAAATTGTTTATCCCAACAATCTACAACTATATATTATAAATTTAATGTAGTATGAAACATAATTAAGGGCCACAAGGAGCCAGAATGCTAAATATTTGACGCTTTATATCTCAAAAGTGGAAAATATTTTGATAAGTAATATTGAATAAAAGATGTTCAAAATAATGTTTTAATCAATATGCAACCTTTCATTTTTCGCTAAACGTCCCCATTAAGGAGTTGAAGGGTTGGCCCCTAAATATTTATTTTCTATTCTCTGAATAGTTGTTGAACAAAAAGTGTTCAAAATCTTAAGAGCTTTAAGATGAAATCCAGAAAAAAGGGGCTGGGCACTCAAATTAAGGACCGAGAGGGGCCAAAAGTCTTCAATCGATAACTCTTTAGCAGTCAATATTTTGTTATACATTACTGAAGTAAAAATGTTTATCTCAACAATCTACAGCTATATAGTATAAATTCAATGTCGTATGTTACATAATAAGGGGCCATAAGGGGCCAAAATGCTAAATCTTTGACGCTTTATATCTCAAAAGTGGGGAATATTTTGATAAGTAATGTTGAACAAAAGATGTTCAAAATCATGTTCTAAACAATATGCAACCTTTCATTTTTCGCTAAACGTCCCCATTAAGGAGTTGAAGGGTTGGCCCCTAAAAATTTCTTATGCAAATAACTCGAAAACGAAACAGAATCTCTGAATAGTTGTTGAACAAAAAGTGATCAAAATCCTGAGAGCTTTAAGATGATATGAAGAAAAAAGGGCTGATCCCTAATATTAAGGGCCGTGAAGGGCCAAAAGTCGCTTTTTAAAGTCTTTACTGTTCAATATCTTTGGAAAATCATTATTTTAGAATGAAAATCTCAATCAGAATCTTATCTCATTTCATCAAGAATCGGACGGAAGACCCACTCGTTGCTCGCAACGAGATCGTATCCAGTTATTATTATTATTATTATTATTATTATACTTTTAATATATTTTCCTGGTCTAGTTAGTATACTTTTACTTTAATGTCTAGTGAGTATACTTTTTTAAATTTATTGTTTAGTAAGTAGACATTAGCAAAATTATTTTGATAAAGCATTCTAATTGTGAATTTTAAGCACTCTGACGTTGACAGTAAATGATACTTGAATTTCTGAACGACAATATAAATGAATATATTCGTTCTTAAATGGATGTAATACATGTAAATGACATGAGAAATAATGTTATTTTTGCTATCTGACAAAAAAGTCAAACATATGCCTTGTTCTTGTTTTTTTCTTATGGGAAACATAGTGCACAGTGTAGAACATACATAATTTTTCTGTCGCTAATTAGTATTGGATAGATACATCTTTGTTAAAAATATTAAGCTTGTTCTAGACTGCGCTCTATATTTTCTGGAAGAATAAGCAGTTTTATACAAAATATGCTAAAATAGCGGGAAAACATTATTTTTATGATGTCATATTTCTAAAATAACGGCATTTTGATCAATATGAAAATGACCAATAAAGGTATATATAGAGTCTGGTACATATAGAGTTGTACAAATTAAAGCTTTATATAAAGTAAAATTAAGATATTCATTTCAAGAGGCCAACACTTACCACATATTGCTCTTTGGATATTTAACTTAAGAAAAATTTATGGTAATCAGTAAAAACATTACACAAAATGCAAAAAGGTTCATGTACATTGACACCCCCCCCCCCCAAGAATACCAAGAATAGCATAGTCAGGGATTTTTAAGATCACGTGTTATAATGATATACCATTGTATACAGCTGGTTGCTATGCAAACATACTTACATATTTAAATGTCAGCAGCAGGATTATTTCATAGTGCCTACATATTCTTTCCGAATGAAACTTGCATTAATGATGCATCTAGATGGGCTTCTTCATTTACTTTAGTATCTTGACCTTACATTCGTTTTCAACTTCATTTTTACAGCATGCAGTAAACCAGTTGTTGCATTTACTGCAAAGCTCTCCAAAGATACCACAATCGGAGGTCACGGCATTGTCAAGTATGATAGCGTGCTAACGAATGTGGGAGAGGCTTATAGCCCGCAGTCTGGAATATTCACCGCCCCCTATGACGGCCTCTACACGATATCGTGTACACTTATGAGTCTACCATCAAACAGTGTGCATTTGAATATTGTTAAAAATGGAACGAAGGTGTCTATCTTATACTCTGCATCGAAGACGTGGCCCCAGTCTGGACAAACACTCCATCTGATACTGAAGGCAAAGGATAAAGTCTGGATACAGAACTCCAACTCAAAAGCAGCAAAACTTCACGACCATGGCTCGTATAACTTGTTTTCTGCTATCCTGGTAGATTTCTGACAAAAGAAATGGAATGTTCATTTAGAATAAAATCTTAATAAGCATATAATATGTCTCTGTTATTATACATACATGTAAAAGGATTTCATTCAATAAACAACATAAAATGTACTTTTGGTTTGGGCATTATTATGACGTACCGGAGAATACAAAACATGCCGATCTCAATCCAATTTTGGATGTTAAATGCATTATATATCATTCCATTCCCATCGAGGTATATAGGAACAAATCGATATATTTATGTAACAATACAAGAGGTTTTGATTTATTGTCCATCGGTAAAAATTACGACGTTTTCGAGGCATGTACGAGAGTGATCAAAGAGTCTGCAAACTAATTGAATAACTTCCAAAAAGGAAGCAATGTTTGATTTCAATGTTGATTTCATTTTAAATAAGTCCTCTCCTATTTTAATGCACATCTGAAATCGTTCTGCTTATGTGCGAATCACGTAATATAGACGATAAGCTGAATAGCATCATAGCGTTCTGTTGAAAAAGCTGAAAGATTTTTATGAGTTTTATATTTCTTTCCATGCAACTTAATTATTAACAAGAACAGTTCCAGTTCATTTGTCTGAAATGGTCAAATCATAGCAGCAGATCTAGAATTGGTGGATAACAATGTCGTTTCCAAAAATAAGCGTGGCGACCACCAAAACCCACATTCTCTGTCTCGTGAGAGTCTTTTTTGGCAACGTGGATAAAGTATGGGTTCCTCCTTTCTAATATGTTGAAAATTCTAAAGTTAATGATATCTCAGGTATATAATAATTATATTACTGTTAAGATATTTAACTATTTTTCAAACTGTCAGTTGGAGTTTTTTCATAACAAATTGCTTAATAAAAACCCGTCTCTTTTCAAACCTGCTTTTACTAGACAACAGAACAAATATCATATTTAATCACCTCTCTTTTCTTATTAAAACAACCAACCCAATCATTGATTGAATTTCTAGGCAATTTTTTGTTTAAATTAATTGTGCAAAAATTATTATACGTTATTGAGGAATTTCCAAGATATACACTAAACTTTACAGACGTTCGTTGAACTAGTACGACTAGAGACAATCAAATTTTGTCATAAGAGATCTATATATTATCGTCATTTTCACATTGTGTCGTCACAAACAAGGCGCAAACCATTATTCAGCACATGCTATCTATTGAAATTGTGTATGACTAAGTGTGTACCAAATTTTATTCTAATCTAAATTGTGGTTTTGAAGAATATAGAGATACTTTTTTATCACCCCTTATTCATTGTATTTACTAATTGTTACATGTACTCCATCCATAGGTCTTCTGCCTTTCTGTGAAAAGATCTGTAACAGGCACGGATCTAGAAATTTTTTCAAGGGGGTGCACCCTGTACAAATAAAAATAATTCAAACCAGAGACTTCTTGACAGGCAAAAAAAACACCCATAAATTCACCAAAACGTCAAACACCTATTTACTGTGTGTGTGTGTGGGGGGGGGGGTGGGGGTAGTGGTAGCCGTTGACTTCTACTGTTTCAAACCTTTTTCATACCAATATAATACAAAACTGCATTTTACAAGGGACCTGTGTTTTCCAAGGGGGTCATTTTTAACTTGTTTTGATATATAAGTTTGGTAGCCTTGCACTTTTAGAGAGGTCCTGATCCCCACGCCCCCTCTAGATCCGCGAATGCTTTGAAATACTTTTATTGAATATTATTTTATATCTTGAGGTGTTTTGAAACCGCAAGACTTATATTGAGAAAATGAATAGTTCATGATACAGGGTTTTAAAAGTTATTCAAAAATCTACCTCAAGTTTGATCTTTGACCCCTTCCGCAGTTATTGTCCCTTTAACCACAAATCTTGTTATCACTACTCCTCCGAATCAGTAAACCATAAAGATACAAAACCTTTATTAATGTTTTCGACTTATTTAGGAGACTTCAATATATTCATTGCTGCAGGTTACTTTAACCCTTACAATGAGTTTTTGCCTCTAAAAGTTTTCAAATTTTACATATAACTAAGAATGTTCAAAACGATAAATCGTATAGAGCCATTATACCAACTGCTATGATTTGTAGACCTTTGATCTTGAAATCTATTTCTAATTTCCATTTATGAGAAACACCTTTCTTTCTATAGCTTCCATTTCCTCAATCATATACTATCTTCCTATTACTACATGTATCTAATAAGTACTCTTAAAACTATTTCAAAAGTTTCATTCTTGTCCCTTAAGATTGACCCTTTTCGAAGTTATCGCCTCTTGTGTGAAAAGTCTTGTTATCGCTTCTTCTCTGAAGCTTTTCACAAAAATATAGATGATCGACATATTTTAAATTTCATGAATACTATAGCTTCAACTGTACTATTTAAAAAAAAAACCAAACAGTCCGGAATAACATTCTGCAATAATTTTCATTAAAACTAATTGACAAAAGCATTAGCATTAGGACACAGATTAAATATTTAAATGAAATTCAATAATTTTGTATATATTCAGACCTATGACAAAGGTGTCAAAAACGTAAACATGTGGTAAAAACAATCTGTATTGACGTTCACCGTCGATCTGCAACGTCACATCTTTAAGACATAATTTCTCTGTTTTAGTGAAAATGTCATTAGCACCTTTTTTTCATGGGCGCAATCATATTAGTATACAGAAAAAATTGAAATAACAAATGCTAATCTAACTCAAAAATCAATTGAAACAATACAAATTTTGAAGCAGAAAAATTTTGGACCTTGTTAATTTAAATCATGACATGGGTAAGGTTTAAAAGTTCAATTTCAGTGTCAAATGTATTAATTAAAGCTCGTTGATTTCAGCACTCTTATACATGTTATTTAGAGAATCATGGGTTTTAAAAGCAGTAACGGATCGTTTTCGTCCAAATGTCATTGATACGCTCTGTGGATGATCAAAAAATTCAAGAAGGATTTCGATCCATTAGCAATAAATTGAAACGTTTTATCTTTTGTACATGTATAAAACCAAGATCAATACATCCTTCAATACATTTCAGTAATTTGATAAAAAAAAATGCATATTCATTTGGTATTAATATCAGCTGAAAATGATGAATATATACATGTATAGCTCAGGTATTTCGTTGAAAAGTCGAATCAAAATAAATTACACGACATTGAAAAATTCCAGGTTATTATTTTTTTATAGGAAAATCCTTTTTTTTCAAATTAGTTCTTATAAAAAATTCTAATTAGTGCTTTGTCTCTTTAAAAAAACAAAGAAAAAAAAATAGTTATGTTTTCTGAGCCCAATGGTACGGGACCTCTACACTACAGGAGTTTTATTTTACACAACTAATCCATATCTACTAGAATTGCCAACACGTCTCAAACATCTTTTGACCAAGCTTACAATATTTTACCCGAAAACATATGTGAAATTGGAGCGGCCCCATTGCTTTGTCAGAAAGCACATTGTAATAACACACAGATGCTTTTGATCCTTATGCTAGCTAGATGTTGATTTTATACTTATGTTGAATTATATAGGTTCAATACTCCATAAAATGACCCTCTCAATATACCAATAGACGGACTAAGTCCAAACGTTCCATTTTGAACATCAACATATAGTAGAGACTTAGTGCTTTTATTTCCTGAAAAATATCCTTTGAGAGTCTAAGGTTGGAAACTCAGGCCTTGTGAAAAAGCAATGTTCTTGATGTTTGAAGAAAATAGGTGAAATTGAGCATCTTCAACTGTTGATAAAAATATGAGCCCACCCTGCGATCCAATTCTTTAATGGATTAGAATTGTCTGAAACAAACATTTTAGATCAGATTAGTTTTTTTTTATATTTTGCATAGCCTGCATCGGACTTTGCAAAGTATAAAAAAACATGTGTGATAAACACAAAATGAGACCGTCTTGTTACCAGAGGGGCATCTCAACGGGCCAACAATTAAACAATTGTCCTGTCTTTTGTAGAGTACTACAAAATATGACGAGACACAGTGCAAATGTATTATATGAAAAAATGATAAAAATAATCGAGAGATTATCAATTTTTTGTCTTTTAAATTTCAAGAGCGAACGTTTATTACTTTTTGTATAATAACATTTTATTACCCCCTTGTTTAAAGTAATTCCACCCTCCTATGATGCCATATATGTTTTTGCAAAAAAACTTTAATTAGTTTGAATTCAAACACAATAGAATAATATCTTTTGGAAGAATGCTTAACACTAGGTGTAATGATAAATATTGTTAAGAAAAAGAATTTTTAAAAATGCATTTTTCTATTTGTTTAATAAATTATTCAATCTTTAAAAATGTTGACAAGGGCAATAACTCCTTCTAAGGTCTCTTCATTCAGACATTTACTTTATCCCATGTTTACCCCTTTATCCAGTGGGTATAGCTCATGGGATATGGCTTTCGTATCCAACACTTAAGTGCAGTTATGACGTCACAATGGTTTTTGCATTAGCGTGCTAAGGGCTTGAGAAAATGGTTAAACGGAAATGGCACGTAAACCAATTATTCAATGTAATTTACTTAATTGAAATAAATCCACCAATGAACGATAAAAACGTTATATAATCAAAGTGAAAAATTTTATCAAACTTCTCTCAGTACCACTTTTTATTTTAAGAATCTACACTTCCCCTTCTTTGAATACACTGCAACATGTGCGTGTTGAAATAAGGGAGGGGGTAACCTTTTTTTAAAAAAAAGAATATTTTAATATTTACAGATTATATAACTTATCAATATTCTCATAACTGAATAAAATCAAAATTTATATTTATTGAAAAACTAGAGGATTACGGATAACCGTGAATTAGCATGACTAGCTTTCGACAGAGGGATTAGCTAAAAAAAAAAAAAAAAACTCATGCGCGAGGATTAGCATGACTAGCTTTCGACGAAGAAATTAGCTCAAAAACTAATGCACGAGGATTAGCTGATTCACAGCGATTTCTATGGAATTGTTCAGATCTAATCATTTAATTTTATATAGGGAAAATTCAGTAGAGGTAAAATAAACGAAACTAACTTCATGAAACTTTGTCGTGTGACA